GGCAACAATTGACTGTGTATTGAATCTTCAAAATTTTACTTTTGAGGTAGATTCTACGCGATCTGTTGAATCTCCCCAGAATTATAAAATGAAGATATATGCAACCCCTGCATCTCAGCAATATCTTCATAGTTTGTACAAAAACGAAGGTTTCTGTTTCAAGCCTCAACCTTAACTCCCGGTTGACCACTAGAAATGGATGATTTACTTATTTCTTTATTCAACTATTTCAATCTACAAGTTCAAAATAGTTTCTCACCAAATCAAATTATAGCCATCAAACACAAAAATCCTTTCCTGTTTATAAGGAGATCAAATCCTGCTTGATACGCATATTAATTAAGAAAATCTTGCGATTAATTTAATGACACAACTGTTACTGGATGATATAGCTGTGATCCAGTTTCAAAATCATTAAAGTAAAGTTCGAACATGGAATCAATGATGAAAATTGTGGCTTGGCCATGTGAAAGATTAGCTAAAGGCAAAGACAGAAGATAAACCAATATTAAAGTTCATCGAATCACTATTTTAAGTCAGATCTATTCTATCTGAAAATGTTGCAACAACACAACATCATGCAGAGTTAAAGTTAAAGCTATACCTATCTGGAGTGTTGTGCATTACATGTGCGTGTGATAATACATTATAGCTTGAAAAAAAAGAGACTCTGCGTTTCATGCGATTCAAACAAACTCTGCAAAAAACTTTCCCAAGTCAAACTTGCCGTTGTTGCATTCTATGGCATTCAGAACCTCCTCAAACGTGGAAACACTGCATGGAACTACTAGTCCATTCCTCTGCGAAAATCCAAACTCATTGTAAGTCTTCTCCAGCAGCATCTTGAACAAGGGGTGAGAAAGGTAGCGCGTTGGAACCACGTATCTTTGCCGCTCTTCTCCGACATAAAGAGCAAAAAACCCTGTCGGGGGTGAGTTAGTCACACATTTTTCTTCATAGTTATTGAGCAAACCCTCATGATGAGCAGGGTAAGGATCAGGCTCAAATCCACCTACCCCCTTCACCCTTTTTGCCAGTTTCTTGAAAGATACCATCTTTTTCCCTAACATGTTCAAGGAAGATGAAGGATAGGTCAAAAAACTACGAAGAGGAACTAGCTATTGAGCAAATTGAAGGGATGGTTTATATATATATATATATATGATTCAATTTGAGTAAGATAACCGGTAATTAGAGAGAGACAGAGAGAGATTTTTTTTAAAAAATGAAACTAATGAGTAGTTTCATACTTTGAACAGAGGACAGTCCAATATTTTGAATGTGGAAAAGTAATCGCATTTTTTTATTCCAACTTTCAGTTATCTTGAAGTACCTCATGGCCAAGCATGACCCTAATCATTTAAAAAAAGAGGGTCGTAGTTAATACTATAATACACTAATAGTCCAATTTTTTCCACTTAATTAAATTAACTCTGAAACCACCAACAATAACATCCTTGGTGTACGGCACGGTAAACACATTAATTAGCGTAACATAGTTGGGGTGGTTTCAGTTTACGTGTTTGTTAGTTAGTTGGCCTTTGAATGTTGCCAAACAATAGGTTAATTATGGCTATAAAAAACTGATATATATATATATATTCATGACATTCAATTAAACAAACATCTGACATTCGTAATATGAAAAACGATACAAGATTATAATAATACCGCAGGCGTAATAATCAGTGGTCCATTATTCGCATCAATTTTTGTTTAAAAATATAAATGGCTTTATTATAATTATTTAATTTTTAGATTCTTCTTTTGCATTTTATATTTTTATTAATACGTGCAGGCTACACCCAGATCGCCCTTCACGTTTAATCTCAATTCAAATAAAGATAAGTGACCATTCAACGAACAAATAGTTTAACTTATAATGTTCCAATAATGGATATGGACTTTGGAGTGCTTACTTCAAGAACTTTATAAATCCAATTCAATGTTGGTGAAATAAATAAGTAAATGATTTTGTCATAATCGGAAAAAGATGGAATAGGTTAATATATGAAGCTATATTCATCAAAGAAAAACACGATGAAGAATATGCGCGGAATCATCCCAATTATCGCATTTATATTTTAGTATAAAAATGCGTATCGCCAACTAACCAGACTCTTACAGCAAACAGTATGATCTGTACGGAAGTTTGGAAAAAATAAGGGGACGCGACAATTTAAAAGGAGAAAAAAATGAGAAGAATGAAGAGTGTTGGAGACGGCTTGAACCAATCAAGAGTAATATATTATTGTAGAATAGATTGGTTGACTAAGTAAGTGAAAGGCCTTAACACAAAGACAAGTGTGTGGAAGGTAACACACGAATTTGTCTCCGGCAATGTCACGAATTTGTGTTGACAACGATCGATGATATTGTACTTCATTCTTGATTTTTCGTACTGCATTCTCTTTGTGTGGCGTTAAAAGAAGGAGACTCGGGTCTTCGGGTGTTATATACCGTAACTTTCCTATTCTTAGATAAGAAAAATAGTCTGTCGATA